CCACCCCAAACAACTCTATAATATATAAATTTTTTTTTTAACATTTATAACAGCCCAAACATACCTATATACATATAGAATGCTGCACCAAACAAATTCATAAGGGAAAACATTTAAACAATAAACCAACTCCATAGCTGATTCTAAGTATTCAAGGGCTTAGGACGTTCCAGTTCAGCCCATTCCAAGGGTTCCGCCAGAAGTGGGCACTCATGCAACGTAATCAATGATGTACATCCGAGTAAACGAGACGGAGGGAAGTTTACGAGTGAAGGGCATAAAAAAACGGACTGGAACGCAGCCCAAGACTAAGCAATGAGGTAATGAGACACAGGTGAATGCAATCAGTGATGAAGAGTCCGGGCAAAGGATTATGAGGAGTGCGGTTTGTGAGAGAGTCTGGGATGGAGTGTCCTCTAGTGGACAACCAGGGCATTCCAGCCGGTCATCGTAACAGTGTTGAATTACAGACTTGCATGCATTTACATTTATGACCCTATTTTTATTCAGTTTTATTCATATGAAAAGTTTTTTTTTTTTTTTTGCATTTTAGATGTATATATTTAATATTTATATTTTATATATATTTATATTATACTTGTATATATATTTTTTTATTATTTGTCATAAATCCATTGAGTTTTACACTTTTTTTTTTTACATTTTATTTTTATATTATTATTATTATTATTATTATAGATCAACTGAATATGACCTGTTTTAATATTTACTTTTTTTTTAATGAAGATACTTTAAAAAAAATCATGATTTTATTTCCCTCACCTTTTCATGTTTTTGCTTAATTTAAAGCCATTTCAAATTTTTCAGTCGTGTTAAAAGGCACAATTTGTAAGATTTTCGTAATTAAATATCCAAAAACCACTTGCACAGTGTGATATATTTCATGCAGTTGTGCACTTACGTTATCCTAATAGTTCCCAAGGATTTGTAAATCCAGAGAAATTCCCATTTTAAATAATGGCTCGTCCCTGGTCATTTGTCGCCTATCAATGATGAAATATCCGCACTATCCTCTGTTTCCACTTGTAGAAACTATGGCAACACACGTGGACAAAAATGCTGCTGTACATTTAAACTAAATCCATTACGGCTGTTGCGCAAGTGCATGAACACAGCGCGCAAGCGAATTACAGTACTTTGCATACAGCGACGAAGCTCGCACGTAAAATGTAAACCTGAACAAATGGCAAATTTCAAACTCGAGCACAAAAAATATGATTGTGTGCACACATCAACACGCTGCAAGGACAAATAATGAAACTGCGAGTCCTGGCAGATCCCACACACGTGAGTAATATCTACATGCGTGCAGAACTAAACACATGCATGGGCTGAACCCTTCTTCTTCTGGTGTTTTATGATGGTTTGGCAAGCCAACGAAAAAGGTGCATTACCGCCACCTACTGATCTGGAGTGTGCTAGCTGAACCCTTCACGCACAGGAAGTTTTGACAGTCAGGGGGCGGGGCCCAAACCTATGGTTGCTGTGTTAACAAATGCTATTGGCTGCTGGCTAAATCCTGTATTGATTGGCTGCTCATCTTCGGACTGGCTGTTGATTGACCCTCTCCTGACGAGGACGAAGACAGAGAGCGGTATGGGATGATGGCACATAGTAAAGAGGTAAATTTTCTTTCTAAATTCATACTTGTATCATTTTAGTGCTAAGATTTGTATAAGACATCTAGATCGCTGTATAGGCGCCTCAGTTAAGACAGCAGCAGCACTAGTAAACGAGATCATCCCTTTCTCTTTACTACTAGTTTTAGCACCAAATACACCCTGGGTGTGCCTGCCTGGATGTTACATCATCAGCGCAAGACCATGGTTCAAGTCATGGTTTAGCAGAGGTGTCTGCAGTTGATCATTTAAGTTGAACAGTCTAGTAAAGGTTTATTGTTTTGTTTTTACGTGTTTACTTAAGTTTAAGAAGTCAAAGCATTCGTTGAGCCATATTCGCTAATGTGACCAATAAGACTTATGATTTAATACTGATCGATTCTTATGTTTATTTAATAAATAATCTTTATTCACGTGGATAATAATAATAATACATTTTATTTATAGGCGCCTTTCTCAACACTCAAGGACACCGCACAATAAATGTACTTGAAAGTGAACAAGAAAATCTTAAAGTCAATGCGAAACTTAACCGGAAGCCAGTGAAGCTGCTGCAAAACAGGGGTGATGTGGTGAAAGGGGGGGATTCTGGCGATAATACGGACTGCTGAGTTTTGAAGCAATTGAAGCTTATAGAGGGATTTGTGAGGAAGACCAAAGACAAGAGAATTACAATAATCGATGCGGGCAATGACAAGACTGTGAACAAGAATAGCAGTAGTATGAGGAGTAAGGGAAGGGCGAAGGCGGTTAATATTACGTAGATGAAAATAGGCGGACCAGGTGATTTTATTAATATGTGATTGAAATGACAGTGTACTGTCCAGGAGGACACCCAAACTCTTAACTTCAGGAGCAGGGCCGTGCACAGACATTTTGAGGGGCAGTGGCTCAAACCAAAAAAG